CAGTGGTAACACCGTAGTCTTCTTCTATATTGAGTAGATATAAGAGGAGGTTAGATTTCACCATTCACGCATATACAAAGGGCTAGGGGCTCAAAAGCCAACTAACAACACACTATACACATGTTTGAATCCTAAGGCAACTTATACACATTTTTATCGAATAACACACAAGTTCATTACACCAAATCCTTACAAAGGCTTAGAGAGAGATCTTAATTAGCCAATGTTTTTTCCCTTTAAACCACTAATGCCAGAACTTGAAAAATATAGTGCCAGAACCACAGGTGAGATAAAAATCTCAATAACTAATATAGTCTGTTAAATATTTATTATCATAAATAACAATGCCAAAGTAGCAAAACTAGGGTAATATCAAATTTATATCAAAGTATGAAGAAATTTCATCTTTTTAAAGGAATTCGACACAATTACACATTAGCATGATCATCTAACCACCGAACCTCTAATGCTCCTTGACACAAAACTATAAGCTCTAATAGATCAATCACTCATTAATCCAAGAACACTTTTGATGGTAGAAACACCTAGCCAAAGGTAATCAAACTCACCTATAGACTATGGTTTTCCTCTTCATACACTTGTGATAGAAGCATCCTTGACTCCTAACCATACCTTAACAGGGACTAAGGAGTTGCTAGACTGCTTGAATGTCCCATAGTTACAGTCACATAGTATGTTGTACCAACTTACCTATGATAACAACCCATATAATGCTGCACAGGATGTCTCATAGTGCTAGCATGATGATATAAATTTTTCAGTCACATCTCCACACACACATATCCCCACATATCCTAGGTGAACTCCCACCCCCTATGATTATGCTCTGTTTCATAATTTTCACTGCTTTCTTTCACATTTTCATAATATACACTTTTATACATAGCATATATATCAATCAAAACTAATACCCTTTTAAATTTCATTTCACAAACCGATGTTCATGCTAAAATTATTTACAATATCAAATCATGCATAAAACTCATAAAACAACAAACTTACTATTTCATATTTACTTCAACACAGTTATAATAGTTAGTAAACAAAATAAACTATATGGTTACCTCAACCCTTCTATTTGATAAAAAGGGTTACCTGTGTAATTTCCTTACTTAAATCTCTCTTCGCTTATTTATATGTCACACACTAGAATCTACATAAAATTGGCATTCAAAGTCAATTTCATTATTGACAAAAAGTGCCAATTATCGCAATTAAGCACCTAATTGCTATCAATTCCACAATTTCATACTTGATCACGTGTATCACAACTGATTACCCCTCATTACAAACTTTAATCTTTACCTAGCTAAATTTCTCTCACTACCCTCTCTCTAAATTAGGTCAAATTGTTCCTATAGCTTCAAAGCTCTATCGTTCCGACTCAAACTAGTCACAAAGTACTAGTTTAGTTTCAGAGAACCTTTCTATTACTGTAGGGTAAGAAATCAACTCCTTAAAACTTCTGAATTCAATTTCTCACTAGTTAAAACTAAGAGAAAATAAGGTAGAATCAAAGGTTAAGGCAGAATGAGACTTACCCGATAACTAATAGGTTAAAAATGTTGCTCTTACTCCCAAAAACCAATGCCCTAGCACAGTCCCTTCTCTTCTCCATGCCTGAACCTTTCTTTATTGTTCTTCCCTTCTATTTCATGAGCTAGACACATCCTTACTTATCAAAGTTCTACACCATATACCACGACACATACATCCTCCACTATGACGTGTGGCACAGTGAAGGAAATCCTTATGATGCTCACAAACTCTGCTTCGGGATTCCACTTTTCTACTCATATCTAGTCAAATAACATCCTAAAGAGTCAATATAACACTTTGCTTTCCAAAACCCTAATCCTACATTAAATCACTAATTCATTCCATAATCAGTCATTAACGTAGGATTAGAAATTCAAGATGTTACATTCAATGTCGTGTGTATTTGTTCATCTTTCATCTCTTCTTCTTAGTCCAACGCCACTATCAGGCTCCTGTGAGTAGCTGTGGTTCATTGGTTTCTGTCTTCATTTTCCTCAACCAACTTTTAGTTTCCTCTTTAGTTGCTCCTAATTGGAGGTAAAGGATTTCAAATTTTCCCTTCCCTTCTTGCATCGACTCTCTATGTGTGTATGTGTTTGGGTGGATGAAAATTTTGATTCCCATTCCTTGTTTAATTGTTTTGCACAAATGTGTTGAGAAAGGGGAAACTTGTGAGTACCTATGATTGAAATTTAGTATGATGCATGTTTTTAGTGGCAATTTTGTTATAATTATTTTACATAAATAGATTTGGTTTCTCTAAGTCAAAATTTGCTTTTTTTTTTGTTAAAAGAATGGAAATTGGGAGGTTGATGGATTCCAATATTATTATTTTAAATTTTTAGGCAATGAAATTGAAGAAAAAGAACTTCAATATTAGTTTAAGAATTAACGCCTACAAGATGTTCGATAAAATGTATGTTTGAAGGAGTTTTGTTTGATTATGTATTTTATAAATTTTTTATGTTGTTGGGTGTTTAGAGAGAGCAAAGGAATTTGGAAATTATAATTTAGATATTGCCTTGCTTGAATGAATATGTTTATGCATCTTTGTTAATCTCACAACAAGCACAAACTAACTTAGATATTTCTTATTTGTGAATCTAAACTAGGTAGTGAGAAAGAACCTATCTAAGAAGTTATTAGGAGATTATCTGAATTCTGGATTCTTGAGGGTTATATGGTTGATAAATTATAAGTTATGGTATCATTTTAGAAGTTATATTCGGATGTTTGGAAATTGTTGTGCAAGAGATTGAAGATTAGAAAGTTTGTTTAGATGGATTGGAAATTAATGCACATTAATGTTTGTTAAAAAGGTCTAATAAAGGATCACATCTCAATTAAATAATTACTATGCCTAAAGTAAAATGAAAGAATTTGGTGTTATAATGATGATGTGCTTGGTGGAATTTTAAAATATGAATTGTGGTGTTTTGGAAATTTTGACTGGTTGAAATCAATTGGAGTGGCATTAGTAGTGGGAAGAAGTTTATATAATTCGCAGGAATTAATTAAAGTCTTTATTTATATATTCAATCAAGATGTGTGGAGAAAGAGGATATTGGTAAAAGTTGAGAAATAAATCTTTGGATTTTGAAATTCAACAAATATGTGAATAGCATCCTAATGACTTGATAGCAATTCAATTTCTTAAAAACATTGATAGAGTGTATTCATGTACTACCTATTCTATTAAAAGATAGAGTATTTTTAATTTATTCTTATTAATGGTTTACCATCTTAATTCTATTCTCAACTATTATATATGGAAGTGTTGTCATTATATTAGATTTTATAGAAAGAATTGGAATTATTTATTTTAACATGAATATCTAAAAATATTTGTTACATTAATATTGTTTGATTGTGTGCTTAAAGAATGATTAGCCATCATGATTCATGTATAGGATATACACAAATGAAATATTTTATCTTGAGTACGGTGAAAAATGTTGAAAAATAACATAAAATAATATGTTGATTTTATTGACCCATGCATGCTTGATTTATAATGTGGGATTGAATCAAAACGTTGGTTACTAATAGCAGTACTGTTAATCCTTGGCATGCCATAATTAAATCCTAGCTATCTTGGTATTTGTGAGTATCACACTTGTTATTCATGAGTTTAATGCTCACACTTGTTATTCATGGGTTTTATGCCTACACTTGTTTTGTGACTTCTAAGTGTACTTAATTACTTCATGACTTTAAGCTATGCCTGTTAGTTATTTACCCTGATAGACTATGTGTCCAAATATATTAGTTACTTACTCTTGTGAATTATGTGTCCATGCTTGTTGGTTACTTATCCTTGTGGATTGTAGGTCAATGCTTGTTAATTATTCTAACAGTCCCACTAAAACATGAATTTTTGGAAACTTATTGTTTTAAAATTTATTCTATTAAGCAAACTATTGTTTGATCATATATAATTTTATAGGGTGAATTATATAACTCAATTGTTTTAAGATAGAGATTGTAGCTTGAAAAGTTGAACTTGATTTCTGTATTATCTATAAATTAATATATATATATATATATATATTTGATTGAATTCATATATGATTGTTTGAATTATACAATATGAGTTTTAGAATGTTAATGGTTATTTTTCATATTGGATTCATAAATATTCTCCTCCTTCATTTTTTTAAATATTAAATTGGAACGTTATTTACTACAAAATTATTTTGGCCTCAGATACTATAACTGACATTGAACTCTTGCTAATGATTAATGGGTTTATTCTAATTTAAAGTGGAAGAGCTATGAATTAAGATTTCGTTTGATGTAAAATTTGAATTTGTTAATTTGATAATATCAACTTAATTTTTGCTTCACATAAATAATAATTAGGGTCTTTATTTAATTATATACTCTATATGCTGGCTGAAAGGAGATGAACTTCCAATTATTATGATATTTTACTTGAAATCTTGTGTTGTATAATTTTTGAAAGGTCTTAGTTATAGCAAAGGTTTTGTCAAAATTTTTACAAAAGTATTAAAGTCTATTTGAATTAAAATTACTTAGAATATCATAATTTCAATATAAATATAATTATGTTTTAAAAATGGAACAATTTTTCAATTTAAGGCTTTAGGGATGTGAGTTCTGGTAAATATCTCATACCAGTCATTCCTCTTTTTCTTTTTTTGGGGGGCAGCATGAAAATTTAGTTGGGAAAAGTTTATCATTTGCTCTCAATATTTTAGGAGAGATATTTTTTGTTATCAATGAATCCTACTCTTTATACTTACAAAAATAACCATATCTAGTATCAATTCCTACATGTTAATAAGCCAATGGATTCCTTAAATAATTACATAGTGATTGATAATATATAAATATTACTTATACATTGCCAAATGAGAGACCAAAATACATATTAAAAATTGAGGTACAACATGCATATATACAACAACATTTAATTGGCCTTTATTTGTTAGTAAAGCATATGCTTGCTTGGTCGAAATAGAGACCTTACACAATATGTTGAGCGAACAATATCATAAAAAAGTCGAAATTGAAGGAACAAAAATATGATTATTGGCAAAAATGAAATCACAGAAATGAAGCCAGGAACCCACTTTAAGCCATGCTCATATGTTACGAAGACGGCACTACTAAATGCTATCATCATGCTTGTTATGGACATGAAGAGAGTTACCAATCCAAGTATCAGCCTTGAGGGAAGAGACTTATAAAAGTCATACTCAGCATAACGTGAGATAAGGATAGACAAGAAGACAAGTATGGAGGCTGAAGATGAAATAAATGCAATAGCATCTGATATTGCAAATATCATAAAGGATCGTTTCCATAAATAATTGGGTGTTCCTGAATTATCGTTGATACCACCTGGTATGCTAAATGCAGCAGAGAACACTCCAGTAGCAATAAGAGTTGAAACAACCATGCAAGAGTTAGCTGTTCTCTTTGTCCATGACTCAGCATCTTTCCTCAATGATGCATGCTCCCTAGTGAATAAATCACGAGGAGTTTCACCATTTGAGTTTTTCATCTTCACATATGATGGTAACATTATCTTCTTCACCTCCTACAATGTCAAAGGGTTGTCAAAAGCTTGTAAACCATGGGATCATATAAACCATTTCATAGTTGGTAAGGAAGAAGTACCTCAAACCATAACAGTTCGAGCTTCATTTGAAAAGCCGCCCCAGAGACCAATTCAAGTCTATCAGCCGGTGCTAACTTTGCAGCCAAATGTAATATATTGTTTCCATCATCTTCGTCTACATATGACAATATGATATCCTTATTTGCACTTATATCATGGATAAGATTGAAGATGTTAGGATGACGATGTGAAACAGCAATGTGAATTATGCTTCGCTTTTGGTCATCCAATTCCCATACTAAATCAGGGTAAGATCTCATAAGCTGGGCTAAAAAGTCAAAATTTCCAAATTTTGTCGCATCAAACAATAGTCGTGATGGCTCATTTATTATTTTTCTCATGTCTTCCTCTGATCTTACAAGATTGAGAATTCCTCGCCAGAGAGAATGAACAAGTTGGAGAGCAACACCGTGCTTCGTTCCTGGGATATAATATTTTGATGAACCGATGAATAAGTTAAAGCTAATGTTAAGCAATACGTTGGGACAGTCTATGATTTTTAGCCACAATATACACATATTAAAAATATTTATTTTATAATAAACATGCATATTGTTAGGTATAGTCAGTTGAGACTAATTTTCCGGTCATCCTAGCAAGTAATTACAGTGGCTAATTACCTGAACTTATGAGATTTTGATGTTCTGGACTATGATGACCCAAATCTGTTGTCTTCTGAGCCATGATATGCAAACCTGTCATCCCTTCTTCATTTGTTGCCAATGCAAGTTCTTGCTTATCTTTCAACATTTTCAGCGCTAAATCTAAGAAATTTCAAAAGGTAGTCAAGAAGCGCAAATGCTGTCGCATAATTTAATTATAAATATAGAGCTATATATCAAGCTAAAAGAAGTTTGCATGCAAAAAATAATAATAATAATAATAAAAAATAAACCAAGTTTATCAAATGCTTGGTCATGCTTTACCAATTACGTTCACTCATAATGAGCGTATGTATTCCTGGTTTATATTTAGGAAACATATAATACTTACCATAAATGCCACTGTCGATGCAAGTGAGGAATAACTTATTCCTGTCTGCTTCTTCAAAAGCTAATTCATCAATTTTAGAGTATAGATACCATGTCATATCAGCTCTTCCTTGTATTGCAGCAAAATGAAGAGGAGTGAAGCCATTTCCACCTCTAATGTTTAGCAAGAATGGATTTTTTTCCCACAATAACTTAACAATATCCAAGTTTCCTGCAGCAGCAGCAAAGCAGAAAGCAGTGTTTCCCCTAGAGTCTTGTAAATCCAAGTCACTCTCATTCATCAAGTTCACAAGCTCCTTCACAAAGTGAAAATGTCCTGCTCCTGCTGCTACATGAAGTACTGTTGGATATCCTTTTGCTATAGCAGCATTCATAAGCATTCTCTCATGACTTAACAACATGGGCTTAGCTTTCTCCCAATTTCCTTCTAATGCATATTTGTAAAGAGGCACACATAATTTAAGGTAATGGATTCTACCCTCCCCTGAAACAAGCAAGTAACATGTGTTTCAAAAGTAACTTGATAGTGAAATTCTCATTCAATTTTTTGACAAATGTAAATTGATCTCAGACTGTCTTTCATGTATAATAAATGGCTTTAGTACGTTGAACTAATTATTAGCAATCATTTTTTCCCTCAACAGATTAATCGTGCATCGATTTCTAACCCTCATGGCAAACAATAAATTATTTTTAATTACAAGAAAATTTTGGATGAATTAATGCGTTTTAAGAGCCACCAAGAACAGCACAAGCCTCATTGTTAAGAAAATACTTACAAATTAACTGCAATCAAGATCTTGATTGATATCAACAATGAGATGGAACCCACTATTTTATGAGATATGAGTCAAGAATTCTTAATACATTGATGGAAAAGCACTATATTGGGCCCCTACACTTTGTTTAAGTTTTGGTATAGGTCTCTAGATTTTTTTTTTTTTAATGTTCCAAGTACATACAATTTCCTCCATCCACAATGTTGGTCCCTACATTTTTAGATGAACATTGACATAGTGCAAACAATGTAAATAATGTTGACATATCAATTAACACTGTTAATTTTATACTTATGTGTCAAACTGATGCTGATATACAATTTTTAATAAGAAATCCTTTTTTTAAAAAAAAAACCTACATGGAATTTGTGTATATGTTTTCTTGATCATTTAAAAAGTCTTGGTCAGTCTTTTTATTTCATTTGATGTAGGCTCTTTTTAATTTTTGCTTATTAAATAATTCCATGCCAATATCATTTGGATATGTAAGCACAAAATTAATAGTGTTAATAGACATATCAGCATTATTAATACCGTTTATGCCATGTTAATATCCTTTTGAAAATGTAGACACCAATTTTGTAGATAGAGAAAAGTGTAGGGACCTGGAACTAAAAATAAAGTGTAGGAACTAAACTAAAATCCAAACAAAGTGCAGGACTAAAAGTAGTCTTTTCTCTGTATGAATTGATCAGAACAATGTTTGTTCACACAGTAGTTAGGGGGAGAAAGTCATTTTCAAAGAAGAAGAAATTGCTTCATCTTGTCCCAAGTCTTGTAATTTTTATTATAGAACCCCATTCATCAATGAGTACGAGTCACCTGTCTATATATGGAGCTAAATCCATATTATAAAGGATTCCATCATCTTCCTCATAAGAAATTTAAGTAAATTATGAGGAACCACAAAAAAATTGAACACACATATCAGTTTTATATTTAAGATTTTAGAGAGATCGTAGTTACTTGTATCCTCCAAAAGATGAAGGGAAGGTCTCCTAAAAGTAGCTGAATCGACTCTTAGTAATTGGATGCGATTCGGTCCTTCAGGAGGATTCGCTAGATATCCATTTGGCGCATCCATATTTATCTGCAAGCAAAATCGGACACATTATTAACACTTTCGTAGTTAACTATACATTTGTGTTGATTTTTGTCATTAGCATGTTTACTTTTTTTTTACTAACTCCAGTGGGTTGCATGTATATCTAAAAGGAATCCAAGATTCATATAAGATGTACTGTTTCAAGATTGGTAAATATTGTGGCTCCTCATCATAACTTCTATATAGAGATGTGATATTGACAAGTAACAAAATTTAAGGAGACAAAATACTTTATTACCCTGATTAAAACCAAGGACTGGTTGCTAAAAATGATGGAAAAGGAATATAATGAAATGTTGTGATAAAGAATCATAAATAGAGTTTTCTAAGAGGGGGTAATGGGTAAAGTAATAAAGCAATGTAAATAGGAAATGACATGTATGAGGTTACAACACTATATTTCTAATTCGTAAAGGATAATTATCATATAGTAATTAGAGACGACAACCAAACATAATAATATTGAAATAAAATCAAAATATGCTTATATATAAAAATTACTATAAAATTGTTATCTTTACGAATTCTAAAAAATTGAAGAAAACGGGACCCAAGTACGTTCACTATAACAAGGACGTTGGATGAATTATTCAATTATTGATGATGACAAATCATGGACAGTTGACGTCAAAATTAAGCAATTTCTAGGAAGCAGCTCTACTGTATCAATGGTCCCGCTGATGACTTCGCCAGACCAATAGTTTTTGTGGTTTTGTGGTCCAGCTTTGTTCGATATACACTACTCTATGGTACGGAAATAGCTCTTCCACCAAAGTTTTCTTCAAATTAAATATCTACTATCAAATCGCCATTCATTATATTTCTGATAAAATATGTATTTCTTTAGATAAATATATCTACGTGATCTGGCAATATATATGTATATATAAGAAAACTCCGGCAAAATAAACCTCAATACCTGGGAATCGATTGAATGGAGGAAATTTTCCTCTTTCGGCACTTGCCTATGAACCAGCTTCTAGAATCAAGCGGTTAGTTTCCTGGGGAAAAGATAACAGAAAAATAACGAAACTTGGACTGTGTGCTCAGAAAATGAGATTTAAATGATTCCAAAGATATTTGAAGACAACCGGCTTCCTTAAGCTTACCGAAAAACAAAACAAAAGAAAACCGGCGCTATCTTTGATGATGAAAGAAGCATCTGTAAATGAAGGATAGAGAAGGAAGACAGTAAAATACCTTATTGAATGGCTTTATATGTTCTTTGCTTGTAGAGTGAGATCGCTTGATCCTTTTGGAGTGAGATAAAATTACTGTAATAATGTTGCTTCTACAAAACAAACTTGAGGATGCTGTGGGGAAGAAAGCCGTGACGGATTTAATTATAAGGATCTGGGGATAAGAGAACCTACGAGGTTGGTTCTTCTTCGTCAATGTCAACGCCAAGTCATTTCCAATTTCCAATTATTAAATTAAACAACACTAAGCTGCTGAAAAATATACCAGTTATGAAACCAATAAGGTAATGGTTTAAAAGTTAAAGATTAAAATCATAGCCGAATTGTATATTAGGCTGGTCATTAACAAAACATTTTATTGTCGACCTAGGATCCAACAATGTACTGTTCAATAAGTGGTCAGGTTAATTCAGTTTATTGATTCTTGTTCATGATTGTGAAGCATTAAGTAAATTCTAATATATAACTAAATTAAGCAAGACATAGAGAGACAAACAACAGTGTTTTCCATCCTTTTGATCTTCTTTATATGGGTCCCATTATTTTGGAAGAAAACTGATCAATGCTATGAATTCATTAAATTTCTTGTCCTTACCGAGTTCTTTGAAGGCGGGGTGTAAGCCCAAAACAATGCATCACACAAAAACCAAACATGAGATAACACAACCCAAGGAAAAAAAATGTCAAATTTTATCGTGAAAACAAATAATATGTGTTCGTGATTTTAGTTAAAATAGCTTTAGAATTAGTTCATAATCAGTTTAATTTATCTATTTTTTTTGTTTTGGAACAGGAAAAAAAATAAAAAGGGATACAAAAATCATGAGCATGTAAGAATATAAACGATAAGATAAGTAAGTTAAAAGGAAGGGAGAGCACATGGGGCGGGAATATACAGTCCTACTCCTCAAGTGTCGCTTTTGCCCATAAAAACATAAGAGCAAAGCCAGAGAAATTAAATATTTAATGGAAGCCCCAGGAAGAATTGAAGGGCTCGAGGTGGCAAGGGTGGGAAGGGAGAGACACGCCTGTGATTATATTTTCTTTTATATTACTTTTAATCCTCAAGTTTCGTTATAAGTCTTAGTTTTTTTTTTTTAAAGTATTTCAGGTTGCTATATTCTTTTCATTTAAAAGCTCGGTTCTTATATTTTAATAGAAATGTTGACATAGCACAAATAATATTAAAAATGTTGATATGTCCATTAACACCATTAATACAGTTAATTTGTAGTTATATATCAAAGTGATATTAATATGAATTTTTTAATAAGTAAAAATTTAAAAAAATGTTTCTATTAGATGAAATAAAAAAGGATGACTTGAACTTTTAAACGATTAACAGGAGACGCCCAAATTAAAAAGACCTGGACCCTCATTTTTTAGGACACAACAACCCCATTACAATTGGGACCCATAGACCCCACAACAACAACGCCAGAAAAGAGCCTAGGTGGATGCCGGAAAAGAGCGTTTGATGGCTCTAGAATGGTTACCGCTGGGGAACAATCATCTGATGGTGGTCAGATGAGGCAAGACTTTGGCATTCGACACATCAAGCGGAGGTGAGATTATTCATTTGATTTTAAGTTTTATTCCTCAATCAAACTCGCCTGGCGCTGGTCATTTAAAAGTCCAAATTAGCCTCTCTCTTTTTTTAATTTTCATCTTATATAGGCTCTTTTTTATTTTTGCTTATTAAAACTTCATATTAACATCCCTTTGACACCTAATGTAATAACCCAGATGTTTAAAATGATAATAAATTAATTAAACATATGTTAGTTATATTAAATTCGAGACAATTAGGATAAGAAGGAATGTTGGTGTAGTGGAAACTATGCAAATAATATGCCTTTAGATCCCAAATTCGAACTTGATTTTGGCCTAAAGGAGATTTATTTAATTTTATTACTCCATGAAATTACCAATATATCCTTCTTTGCATCAGATTTTTTTTCCTTCTCCTTTTAATTCTTTTTTTCGAACATTTGAGATGCAGAGAGAGAGAGCTAGATATCTGGGTCCTTGCTTGTCTCCCGTCGCGTTTCTGCTTCCTCCCCTCTCGATCGTCGGACACCGTCGTTTGTGTAAGTCTCTGTCGCCAGTGCTTGCTACTATTTCGTCCGCTGCAGCTGTGAGATTTCTCTTCCTGTCTCACCATTCCTCCGCCTTTATCATCGTCCCAAGTATGCCCAATTCTTCTTCTTCTTCTTCTTCTTTTTCTTGTTGATTCGTGTGTATAATTGCTTAAGCAAGCTAAAATTCTTTCTTCCTTTTTGCTTCTTTGGTCACCGCCGAGCTGCTCATCTCTTTTCTATGTTTAATTCTGGTTTTCGTTACCCCTGTACAGACCTGATGTTTGCTTCCTCCTCCCTGTTTGGATGTTGTTAATTCATCTAAGTGATAAGCTTTGATCTTTTTTTCTTTCCTTAGACAATTGTGGTGCGTGTAAATGGAAGAAGTGAAGGAGTGAAGTTTGCAATTTGTTTTCTCTCAAAATCTGCCGCTGTCATTGCTGTGCTGTGAAAAAAAAATGGTTGAGAATTTAACTTAAAGTTTGATAAAGGTATATTCATGGGTTATAAATTTTGAGTTAAATTAGGTTTGTTAGATTGGTTAATATATAGAAGTATTTGTTTAAATGAAATTGAAAGAGAATACTTTGAATATAAATCTTGAATATCGGCACTTATAAGATGGTTGTTGAAAGGTTTATTAGAAAAGGTTGCAAAGAAGGTCTGATTTTGGAAGTAATATACGAATATCTGAATTTTTGGAAATTTATTTCCTAAATTAGAATTGACATCTAATGGGAATTGAAGTTGTGAAGTAAATTGTGTTGATAACTATTAGGGAAAATGATCTAAGAAAGTAAAGAGATTGAAATAATGATGAAGGACAAACTTTGATTTATTTAAGTTGATTGTGATTTTTCTATTAGAGTAAGAGAGTTTGTTCATCTGGTAGCAAATTTATTAAAATTCTATCATATTTAATAGGGTCACTAGTGTAACATCCCAATTTAAATTTTAATAGTTAATTTGGGTTAATAGAAATAAAAAATAATAATATTTAGAGGTAAGAAAATTAGTAAGAGATGATTATTAAATCTAACTTAGGATATAATTCTAAAAAAAATTTTAAAAAAAATAAAAAAATATATTATTAAATTATTATTATAATAAAAAAAAGGAAAAGGTTTGCAAAAAAAAAAGGAAGAAAACGTGCCGCCACCTCAATAGTAACAATAGTAAAGAAAAATAATAAAAAAAAAAGAAGAAGAAAGAAGAGAGAGAAAAGAATAAAAAAAATGTGTGGGACCCACTGAATTTTTATAAAACTCACCCGTTTCCTTTCATTTCTGCAATTCTTTTCCTGCGCGCGAGCTGAGGCGGAGAGAAGCGAGTCGCCGGTGCAAAATATCTAAATTTTTAAGGTAAGAGTTTTTAATAGGATATTTAGGGTGTGATTTTAAGCTTTTCAAGACTAAGTAAGTGTTCTAAAATTTTTTCTTAGTCATCCTTCTTCTTTGGTTTCTGAGTTTGTAGTGGTAGAAAATTTAAAATCTAGAAGATGGATGAATTTATGTTGAATAAATATGGTTTTTGAGGTTGTTAGTAGTATAATAAATATTCTAGAGTATAAATTTATTGGTGATCTGTGAATTTGTGGCTTATGGATCAAATTCTAAACTAGATCTGAAAATATATGTTGATTTATTGAGATTTAGATGATTATTTGGGACGAGAAATGAATTATTATGGTTATAGGATTATGATTCTAAGCTAGAGACTCAATTTTTAATTTTTGGGTATTTTAGGTACGAATTTATGAAATAAAAAGAAAATTTTGATAATAGAAATTAGTTTAGAAGTTGATTTTTAGATTATTAATATTTATTGATAATTAAAAGAGGAGTTAAAAATTTTACTTAATAGTATTAACTATAGATTTGTATTAAGATTGAGATTAGAAATTATGTTATATTTTTAATTCTATTATTAGAATTATTTTATTAGTTTCAAAAATTGAAACTAATATTTATAAATAATATGTTATTTGTAGATTGTATTACTGGTGAAGATTGTGGTGAGAGAGAATTTTAAGGAATAATTTATTGAAAAAGCCACAAGATAACTATGCTTTTAATTTGTGATTAGTGTTACTTCATGTTAATTGGGTGATTATTGAGAAAATTATGAATTTTGTAATATTGTATAATTGTGCAATATTATTATGAATTTGTTTGATTATTGTGGGAGGTATTGGGAGACTTGTTATTATTGTTGTATTTATGTGCCACGTGGTACGCCCCTATTAGAGCTCAATAGGTGGCTTGTAAGGCCTCAGGCTAATCTACCTTTAGCCGGGTAATTTAGCACCGAGTGAGGGCTACGGCTCGAGGTTAATGGATGGATATAAGGATGGTTGTTTGTGTTTATTATAATATTTCTTATATTTGTTGGAATTATATTATTTTTAATTCTCACTTAGTAAGCACACACTTAACTGTTTGTATACACTATCATAAATTGGCTTTGGTTACTGGGACTTTTGAGTCTCATTATGTGGTTAACAATTTTCAGGAGAAGAGCCACGAGTGACACGTGGAGGAGTCCCAGAGGCTTAGTGGTATAGATCCACTATCTCTTTTGGGTATTTAATTTATGATTTATAATGTGTTATATTGCCAATATTAGGGCTTTTTGTTTATTGTCAATTATATGAATATATAAATGTAATCATGCCTTTCAAACTATTTCTATTTTTGGTACAATTTGGATGACTATAATTTTAATATTTGGTTTACTTTGGATTGGTTAAAATGGCATGATTATAAGGCCAAATAACTGGCTTGTGTTGAAAATTGACTAAATTGCTTATTTTACTTGTTGGGAGTATAAGG